AAGATAGTGAACAAGAAAGATTATGAAGGCTAACATGAGAGAGACTGACCAAGGAGATACTAAGGTCCAAGGAAGCATATTCCTCTCCATTTAAATCCAAACGGAGAGGAGAAGAATCAATCAATTTTCCATTCAAGCCAATACCATCAAATTTACCTGCGCTTTATTATTGCTGAACTTGACTATGGCTACTCGGCCAATTTGATGTTGGTCTTAATGATGTTGATAATTTTTGGTCTTAATCATGCAGATGTAGAATTAGTGAAGGTTGTCCGATGGGGCTTAGGTAACATATGCAGATGTTGTGATTGTTGTGGCTGATTCACTGATCTCTTTGTTGGTCTTCTTGTTTTGATGATGTTTAACAAACAATTTACTCATAATATTGTTTGTCTAGTATTTGTGTTTTCGTATTTATTTTAGGCAAACAACGTTTTGGAGGTTGGATGGATTGCGCCATAACGATCATATCAAATGGAGGTTGGTGGATATAGTGGGTGAAGCATATGCATTCAAAGTTAAAGATTCAAGTTCAAGTTTCATCCGCAAGTGTACCAAGTCAAGCTTATTGAAGATCAAGATCAAACTTGAGTAATTTAGTTTAGGTGTTATATTATGTGTGTTAAGTACGTTAAGCTCAATATCATATACACACACAATTTATTGGTTTCTATGTATATATATATAGTTATATATATATGTACACATTTTGGATTTTGGTTTATCCACAAACAAAGTTTTTACAAGAATATAAATAAATATTTATACTCATACATGTTGGTTTTTACGTGGATAAATTGGTTTGGTTTAATTTCATAGATATGAAACAAATATATTTTCATATACATACTCATGTTTCATTTTCTATTGTATTTTTAAAAATATTGTATTCTTAGTTTTTGGACTTAACAATAATCATATACATATTTTATTAAGTCTACATAATCATTGTGCAAAGTTTCAAAACATGGTTTAGCCAAAATGTCAAAATTCACATGTTTACATTTTCATGTTTTGACCTATTTTGTAAAATGATGATATTTTTCATTTGAGAAGTCCTTATTGGAAACCAGTCGTTGTAGCATGTTTATTATCATGTCTACAATCATTCCCCAAAGTTTTATATTTTTCTGAATTTATTTAATATTTTTAAACAAGGTTTCAAAATCAAAATAACAGCTTTCAAAACATGTTTCTAGTCTGTGTCAGTTCGCGGTCGACCGCCATGAATTCAAGACTCAGGTTATGTTTTGTTGGCTCGCGGTCGACCGTGGCGGTCGACCGTAGCAAGTCTAGAGACTTTCGCGGTCAACCGCCACGGTCGACCGTCGCTTGTCCACATAGTATTGTTTTTTGTTGCCCGGGGTCGCCCGCCGCACTGTCATATCAGTTCTAACGGCTAGTTTCCAGAGCCGTTACTGAGTTGGTTTTTTGGTCTTTTCTTGATTTTCTCTTGGCTTTGGGGTTTCATATAAATACCCCCCTTATACCTCAGTTCTTAAAGCAATCCAAGAAATGTTTTAAACATGTTTTAAAAGAGTTTAAGTTTGTTTAGTTTGTTTTTGGGGTTTGCGTTTACAAAGAGGAGCTTGCATCATCTGTTGAAGAGTTCATCTTCAATATCCTCTCATCCTCTCTTTGTGTTTATAGAGAAGTTTTCTAACTCTTTTCTCTAGCAATATTATTATTGATTTTCATATTCTTATTATTGCTAGTTTGCTATTTGAGTTAGATTTGATTTTACTCATTGTTTACACACTCGCATTGAGCTTATTGTATTTACATTCATAGTATAATTTTGGTTGTGGGCTTGTAACATTGAGTGTGAGCTTTCATTGTGTTCTCATCCATATTAGAGAACAATCATTTGTTGTATTTGTGCTTATTGTGAGATACACTTTGTAATACATTTGTACACCGAGAGAAGTGTGTGGCGAGAGTCGGGGATCGTCCCAAGAGGAGTGGCGTCGGTTGACGAACATAGGGAGAGGTTGTATCCGAGCACTTGAGAGAGAGACACGTCTAGTTCAACACTTGAGAGGGTGTAGAGTGGGATTACAAGAGTGTGTTAGTTGTAGAGTTTTCGGTAAACTAGAAAACTGTATTGTGTGGTGTAAACGTTGTTCGGGTAAGCGTAGAAAACCTGGTTGTTGTGATAGTGGAGATCTCCTCGAGGTGAGGAGCGGAGACGTAGGTCAAGTGGTTAGACCGAACTCCGTGATCATATCGTTTTGTTTGTGATTGCATTGGCGTTCTTATTCTTGTATTCATATCTTGTTTTGTTTGTGATTGCATTGGCGTTCTTATTCTTGTATTCATATCTTATATCGCCTTTGTGTATTGCTCATCATATTGCTCTATCTCTTTTGTAGATTGTTTATTTTACCCTTGTGTTAGTTTATATATCCTTGTTCATATATTTGTAATATCTCATTGCTAGGATATATTCATTTGTTCATATTGCTTATCCTAGCTTATTTATATTGTTGTATTTCATACTTACTATGATAACTTATTAATTAGTTTTAATTGGTATAAAATTAGATTAGATTAGCATAAGACCCTAATCACCTCCCTTCTAGGGTCTAATACTCTTTTCCTCATGTAGAGAGCTCCAAAGGAGTTTGGTTTGTAACACATAACATATATTTTTAAAGTTAGCTATGATATGTTTAGCTCCCCCAGTTTCATCTCTATGAAGAACTTCTGACTAATTCTTAAAGTTTTGATTTAGTTATCAATTTATAAATGATAATTAGGATAATAATTAGGTTGAAATTAACTCTACAAATTTCTACAAGTCTTTTAAAAAAAAGTTCTGTCAAATAAAGATTCGATGGAAAGATTTTGACTGCCCAATAGCTTTTTGAAGATCGATATGAGGTCTTTTCAGTATTTACATGAAACTTCGGCCCATTCATTGGAAAACATGTGATCATTATTATGCTTTACCAAAGATGTAAATTATTAATATGAAAGATGAGAAAATATATTCTTAGTTATTAACCTCAGGGAACTTATTTAATATATGGAACAATAAATTGAATGTAGCTGACATAAGACCTTTGTGATGCAATATTTTTCAATGAAGGCACTGCGTAGAGTTTGGGGAACATTGGAGCATTTAGAATTTCCAAGGATCTTAATATGCAATATGTGCCTCTATAAAAGTTAATGTGCCTCTCTATAAAAGTTAATGTGATGCGTTGCGTATTTTAGTTTTGTTAATGCATTTGAGATTATCCTTTGATTCTCTATAAAAGTTAATGTGATGCGTTGCGTATTTTAGTTTTGTTAATGCATTTGAGATTATCCTTTGATTTATGAGGTTAAGTGCATGGATTCTTGAAATATTTTAGTTTTGTTAATGCATTTGAGATTATCCTTTGATTTATGAGGTTAAGTGCATGGATTCTTGAAAACCGAAAAATATCTGTCGCGTTAAGAGGAATAATATTTATAAGAGCTTTGCTATAGGGACGCAAAATATGGGACCAATAGGAGGGACAAGTGAGGTGTCCCCCTCCTATTGGTTAATGAATTGGACATCATTAATGATTGCCAACTTATTATCCAATAGGATAGGGACACCTCACTTGTCCCCTCTATTGGTCCCATATTTTAAGTCCAATAATTTTTCTATTTATAATTGTTCTGCTCTTAAATAGCGCAAGGAGTGCAAGGATTAAATTTGAAATCGCAATGACAATTCCAAATAGACACGACCTTCTTTATCGCCTTGCAGACTATATAAATGTGGAGGTAATATTATGATATTAGCATAACGTAATAATTAATTTGCTGCCACTTAAATTTTATGTGTCACAAATGTTTGCATCTTATACTTACCTTAAAGAGGTTAAAGCATCTACGGAATGAAAGCTATGTTTACGATAGCTATTCGTGACTAAGGTGGCAATATTATTGTCACGTAGTTAGCCTTTGTTCTATATTAAGCACGTTTTTTTTATAAATGATGATGATATTGGCATGTGCGAAATTTTAGTTTCCTTTAAATGGTTTACATATCATATGGTTTCTTAGCATGCAAAATGTGCAACGCACGTATTGCATCCTAGTACAAAAGCAAACATATCTACTGCAAACGGCTACAATTGTGTAGGGGCTTTACTGTTACTTGCTCTTCTATATTTAATAATCAATTGGAAATTACTAAAACAATTGAAAATGTAAATAAGTAAAAAGTTTGGGAGGGAAATCAATAAAAGACTACTATAAAACGACCACTGCACTTCCACTCAATTCACACCGCTTCCCAAAACACTCGGCGGGCTCCCCAAGGTATCGCCAGTTCCCAAAACCCTAGTTGCTAGTTCTCTCTCGATAATCGTTCCCGATGGTGATCAACGCCTCCCGATCCGCTCACAAGCGTTCGATTGCAGCCAAGGCGGCCATCAAGAAAATCCAATATCGCATATGCAAAAAGTGCTTCTTAAAGTCCCAAATGGTTTCTCACTACCGGACATGCATCCGCAGTACAAGCATTCGTGTGTCGTTTGCTCTAACGGCTACAAAAGGAAGTCCGAGAGGCTCGTTCACGAGAAGGATGAGCACGTCGAGGAGGACGTTGAGGTTGTCAACCCCGAGGCGACGATCGGGGTTGATGAGGTGCAGAACGCCAGAGAGCATGAGGAGATTGAAGAAGAGGATGCTTAGATCATGAGCTTATGGTAAGTAAGTAAGTAGTAGTTAAATAATGAGTTAGAATTAGATATCTAATCTCAATCTCAAGTAACTTTCAGAATATCGAACAGATCTGGTTCCGTTGGTTGCTATTAATGAAACTTAGTTGTTTGATTTGTTGATCTGGTTCCGTTGGTTGCTATTAATGAAACTTAGTTGTTTGATTTGTTTGTCTGGTTCCGTTGGTTGCTATTAATGAAACTTAGTTGTTTGATTTGTTGATCTGGTTCCGTTGGTTGCTATTAATGAAACTTAGTTGTTTGATTTGTTTGATATGATCTTGTATTGTTGATCTGGTTCCGTTGGTTGCTATTAATGAAACTTAGTTGTTTGATTTGTTTGATATGATCTTGTATTGAACAAATCTGATTCCATTGGTTGCTATTAATGAAACTTAGTTGTTTGATATGATCTTGTTTCTGTTTGATCTTAATTTTGTTGCTATTTTCGGTCATAAATTTTATTACTTGTTTTGTGTTTGGATCATCTAATTAATATCCTCTCATCATATTTTCTATTTTCGATTAATGGCAGTTGTTAGTTGAATTGTTTGATGTTTAATCTAATCTCTAAATAGTAATTTTCTAGTTTCTTTTCTATTGGTTAATCAAATTTAATCGGTCGGACGAATATAGAGAATCTCATAACATTTACATCAAATAGTTGAAACAATCTAAGACTAATGTTTTATTATTTTAATAAAATGAACAATAGGAAATTTTCTTTATTGTTATTTTAGACGGACCAACTAGACGGAAAAAAATTCGTCTAATTTGCTTTAAACTAGACGAAAAAATTTCGTCTAGAATATTCCGTCTAGTTTGCTATTGTTCATTCTATTAAAATAATAAAACATACGTCTTAGATTGGTTCAACTATTTGATGTAAAGGTTATGAGATTCGCTATATTTGTCCGACCGATTAAATTTGATCAACGAATAGAAAAGAAACTAGAAAATTACCATTTAGAGATTATATTAACATCAAACAATTCAACAAACAATTGTCATTAATCGAATAGAAAATATGATGAGAGGATATTAATTAGATGATTCAAAAACAAAACAATTAATAAAATATCTGACCGAAAAAGAAACCCAAAAATAGCAACAAAATTAAGATCAAACAGAAACAAGATCATATCAAACAAATCAAACAACTAAGTTTCATTAATAGCAACCAACGGAACCAGATCTGTTCGATACAAGATCATATCAAACAAATCAAACAACTAAGTTTCATTAATAGCAACCAACGGAACCAGATCAACAAATCAAACAACTACGTTTCATCAATAGCAACCAACGGAACCAGATCTGTTCGATATTCTGAAAGCAACTTGAGATTAAGATTAGATATATAATTCTAACTCATTATTTAACTACTACTTGCTTACCATAAGCTCATGATCTAAGCATCCTCCTCTTCAATCTCCTCATGCTCTCCGGCGTTCTGCTCCTCATCAGCCCTGATCGCCGCCTTGAGGTTGACAACCTCAGCGTCCTCCTTGTCGTGCTCCTTCTCATGAACGATCCTCTCGGACTCCCTTTTGTAGCCGTTATAGCAAACGGTGCACAAATGCTTGTACTGCGGATGCACGTCCAAGTAGTGAGAAACCATTTAAGACTTGGGGAAGCACTTTTTGCATATGCGACATTGGATCTTCTTGATGACCGCCTTGGCTGCAATCGAATGCTTGTGAGCGGATCGGGAGGCTTTGATCACCATCGGAAACGGTTATCGAGAGAGAACTAGCAACTGGGAGTGGGTTTCTTGTTCGAGCTGCACAATATGTACCAAAAAAAACAAAACAAAAACAAAAACCAAATTAATTCGAGATCAATCTCAAAAAATAATATCATTTGAGAATACATTTGCAAAGCTAGGAATAAGTTTTTTAAATTCTAAACAATCCTTGAACTCGCAATATTATTAGAGGATGAGATATAATAAAAATTGAATAGCAGACACTAACTATATCGACACCAAAAAAAAGTTCCTCTAAGATGAACAATCATTTAATTGAACCAACATATGAGTGTCAATGAATCTACAAAACAAACAAATTTAGAAGTTTCTAAATACAAATTAGTATAATTAAGAGGGAAATTTTTATTAGGATGAGCTAAGCTCTCCTATTACCACTACTATAAAATGTAGCAGCCCAACGGTTGTAACCGTTG